ATATGTAATGGGGTACATTGTACATTATACAGTTGTTCTTGTAGCACCATTCATGGAAGCCTTCAAGTGCATAGTGACATAGGTAATTGGGTACATTGTACATTGGTCCCTTTTAGCACCATTCATGGAAGCCTTAAAGTACATGGTGACATGTGATGTCACTAACACATAAATTCCTTGATGATTTACAAACCTGCTTATAAAGTGGGATGCAGGTGTGAATCCCTTTTTATAAAGTGGGATGCAGGCGTGAATCCCTTTTTTTTTTTAGAAAATCTGAAAAGAAATTACCCATGTTTGGTGAATGTGTAGAAAATCTTGATCAAAATTGAAAAAGAAAACCTTGATATTGCTTGTTTTTTGTTGAAAATATTGTTTGTGTGCCAAAATTTTAATAAACATGAAATTCTTATTTATAATTAAAAAATCATATTCCCCCCACAAAAAAGTATCAGTATAGTATGAATAACAATTTTTGATAAGATTTTGGTAAGAGAAAATGTCACAAATGCCGAGGAGTTGTAACAGTTAAAGACATAAATAGCAATGAAATAAGTTTTGTCATGTGAAATTGGTGTTTTATTTATTGTAATTCAGTTTCAGTTAAATAGTGATAAATGTGATATGCCCTCTTGTATTCAAATGTCAAACATGTCAGTCTGCTGTCACAGTGTGAGCATTTCTTTAAGAACCTAATTAGCTGATTGTATTTTGATCTCAGATTTGCAGATTTGTAGACCTGTTTCTTGTATTGTTATACTCATTTAAAAGCAGACTGGTTTTCTACTATCACATTATGTCTTTTGTGTAAAATTAAATTTAAAAAATGGAATGTATTTTAAAAAAAGGATAAAAGGCATGCAAATTCTACTTGTTGCAAGAACTAGTGGTCATAGTTATGTGTCAGGACAACTTTTTTAAAATGACCACTTAAACACTTATAAATATTGTTGTAGAATTAACAATTAAACTACCTTAAAGTATTGTAGTCATTTACAAATGTGATCAATGATAATAAGTCAACTAAGTGAAAGGAGTACACAGTGAATTGAAGCTTTGTTTGATAGATACAGTTTATTATGGAGAAGTGAGTTCCAAAGTTGAACTTAAAAACTTATTGAATTTAAAATTATTGAAATACCTGCAATGAAATCAAATTTCACTTGTATAACAATTTTTAAAAATCTAGTTTAACATTAATGGTTTTTGCATGAAACAAATGTCTCTACTTTTTTAACAAAATAAATCTTGTTTTGTTGTCCAAAAAGCAATAATTTAATACAGTATTTTGCATGTACACCATGAGGCTCACATGTACATGTGTTGAAACCTTTTGAAGTTGAGTTTTCTTTTACAATCTTTCAGAGATTGTCTTGAAAATTAAGGTTACAAAAAACGTGAACAATTTCATTACAGCTGTTTTTGGAAACTATTTCCAATTTGGATTATAAAACAAATATTCAGCTATTAAACAGTGCAGCTACCTATCCTACACCCCCAGTCTTTTCACTGCCTAGCTGGGAGGGCCCTGTCTTCATTTTTTTAGAGGTCCCTTGTTAACTCAGACACTCACTTACAGCACATTTTTTTTATATACCACATTGTGCATGAGGTGTTGTGCTGGGTACTTATAATGCAATAATATAATTCAGCCTCTGTCAAGGAAGGAGGAACTTTATAATGAATGACTACTGCATGTTTTGCTTCAGTGCAGTTTTGGGTTTGATCCCAGGCTCAAGCATATGCAAGTTTAAGGGTTATTGATGCCAGATGGTTGGGTTTTAGTGGTCAGTTGCTGAGCCGTTAGGCATATTTATTTTGGTAATGTGAAAAATGGAGAAAGAATGTGAAATCAAGAAATCTGACAGTTAAATATTTTCAAATGGTTTTATTTTTTATCAGTGATTGTAGACATTTTTTGAACTTCTTGTGATGCAGAACAGAATAAATTAGTTAAAAACAAAATGAACAGCAATATTTGAGTATTAAATCAGACTGCTTTTAAATTTTGATCAACTTATGTCAATACAAATCTGCTCATTTCAACAAGATATACTGAAGCAAAATCAGCACATAAATTATTAATAATAATTAAAAAAAACGAGTTTTCTCCTTGTTCTGTTATTGTATTTCTTGACATTTAAAAGCTATATTTTGCTGGTTGGTTGAATTTTTATGGCACACCAGCACAAAGAGGCCATTTAGTGCCATACAAAAGGTTATATCCTTCATTATGTACAAATGGTGAAAAGGTTCTGTATCCCAGCGATAGGAAACCATATAGCTAAAGGTAAAAACGATAAAAATGGTAATGGTGATAAAAAATAAACTTTCCCAGTCAATAGTGATTGCAAATAATGTATGACAATGAAAACATGTGAAAGGTAATTAAAATCTAGTGACTGTACATAGATAGCATATAAAAATGTTTAAGATAATAACATAAAAGTTATAACTTATGATATATGTTTACTTCCTTAAGGAAGTCTATAACATCAGAAATACTAACTGTATCAGAGAGCTGCCTCATGTTGATATGGAAACACTCCAGCATAAAGTGCTTAACTGTGAATGGTTCATTGCAAGATATGCATTCTGGTGGATCTTCTCCTTTTAGTATGTAGGAGTGGGTTAAATAAGTATGGCTGATTCGAATTCTAGCAATGACTACCTCCTCCCTAAGGTCGGCTCTGTAGGAAGGAGTCCATTCTCCTAAAAGCTATATCCCAACTACTTATACCCTGTACATTCAAAAGTACAATAGGAGTTGTCTACCTAATTGGTAAAGGGACAGGACTGATTGGTATATAAATCAACAAGTCTTTAAAGATGCTTCCTACTCATATGTTACTGTGTACAAGACACCAAGTCATTCACCACCTTCTACCCTGCAGCCACCCTTTGTCTTCATGTACTGGCATTCAGGACAGTGAGATATTAGCTTCCCATCAACCCAGCATTCACCCATGGCTCTGCATAATGGTAAACAAGTCAGCAAGGCATGGGGCTATGATCTACCCAGCAACCAACACCACATCTACAAGTCATAGGCTACATCTAACCTTGCAACCCCATCTCCTTATACTGGTATACAAGTCAACATGAGCTATTAGGATACCTAGCACACACACACACACACACACACACACACACACACCCTTCACAATACCTTGTCAGTATGTACTGATTTACAAAATCATTAAGGAACCTCCAATCACCTGTACTGGTGTATGACTTGACTTGCCATTTGGGGAACTTATACTCTGTTGTAACTTGTTCTCTGCTGTAACCATCATGTCCTACATGTCAGTGGTATACAAGTTGAGGTGTCATCTGACTACTACCTCCTCCTCTACCACTTCATGCTTCTGTGTTCTAATATATAATTAGGGCATCCATTATTTGTTAAAATTTGTTGCTGTCCTATTGAATTGTCTGTATTGTTAAAATGTTATGATTTTTCAAACACAGGTCATAAAATTATTTTCTCTTCTGCTTGTTTGATAATCTGTAATTAATTAAATGCAATAAACATGTGACAAGTTTTTTCATGTTGAAAAAAAAATTACATTCACTAAATAAATTTAGACTACAAGTTTTGTCACTTAAATAATCTCCACTCTTCAACTCCCTTTTCACACCCACCCCTACTTCTGTTAATTTTTCCCTTTATGTGACTGAATTTTTAGAAAATTTACTATAATATATTGTAGCTCTAAGTGCTGTAAGTGCCTTCTAGGTCTGATAAAGTCTTTCACCAAATATTAATATCCAAGTATGGAGACATCAAATGCCATAGAATAATTCATGTGGAACAAATTCCCATCAATTTACCTCTACCAGCCATGTAGCATCCCCACACCAAGATTGAGTGAAAATAGATATGACACTTGTTCATTTCACCTGAAATTCCCCAGACATGTGTCTAGAGCACTAAGTATTTGATCCCTGCAAGCTACAAAGCTTGGTAGGTATTTAGTAGGTGGTGTAATTTTAGAAACAGCTTCTCTGGTTAAAAGCCTGCAGATTTATACTGTGCAAATGGACACTTCAGAGGGATGATAACAAAATAATGTAATATATATTGCCTATATATGTAGTCATTTTGTCAGTTATTTAGATATTGGTCACTCAGTCAGTTGGTCAGTTGAAACTGGACCATGCAGGATGTACAAAAATCTGTATTTCAGATGGATACATTGTGAAAGCTAAATGCATGTCACAAAACAAAGTGAGCATATTTTTTTTCTTTTCATTTTTAAAGATAAAGAAGGATTATTTTATACCTTTTGTGGATTCCTTTTGTATTTTGTTTCACATTAACCCAAATGCAATATTATCAAGGTGATTTATGTTAGTGATGTTGAATACACCTATTTTGCACCTTTTATTCAGAAAACTTAGATATCTCCATGGACACTTATTGTGTTACATAGATATTTTGATTATTTTGAGTTGAAGAGTTTGCCTTGTCCCTGAACCCTTACCTAATGTATTGTTTTGTTCTGGTAACCAATTTTTGAAATTACCCAGGAGTAATTCAGAAGATTAGACAGTCTGGAGAATGTAGGATGAGTTCAGACCATTATTTGAATGTGCCATCAGTAATTTTAGAAATTAAGGTTAGTTAGGGTTGTGATTGTTCATATGGGGGGGACAGTATTATAGTATAGTACTTATTACATACACTCCTCTATAAATTAGTTTCAACTGCAACTTGCATGGACCCAGATCTGTCATTGCATAAGGTGCTAGCACATCCGAGTATGTTCTTTACTAGGTGTGTGTGTGTGATTTGAATTTTTAATGTAGCTTTAAAGAAAATTTCAGTCATATCACTACAATGTCTGCAGTGTGCCAGTTTATAGTGATGTCAAGCACTGGGCATCATGCTACAGACATTATGTTCCACCCAGTCACATTATCCTGACACCAGGATGACCAGTCTTAATGCTGAAAACCTTGCAAGGCAGCTGTCAGTACCATTTTTATAATTCGTTATGACTTGGCTGGGGTTTGAACCTGCGACCTCCCACATCAGAGGTGGATGCTCAAACCACTAGTCCACAAGAAAGTTTGATAGGAATAATAAGTAGAACACAACAAACCCTGATCTGCTGGTGCATTATGGAAAGGCATATAAGGATCTTTGTTGCTGGACATCACATATTGGAGAGTATATAGCTTACTGGATTCTGGGTAATATGCATACATGCCTTAAATATACAACCCTTTTTATAAAAATTCTTATCTTGCATTGTAATATCTAGAACTTTGCATGGCACATGCAAGAAAAGTGATATCAGAAACAGATTTTGTCTCTATTATTCTTAAACAGAGCTTCTTTGAGCAGGTCAAAGGTTAAACAGGGCTTCCTTAAGCAGGTCAAAGGTCAATTGTGTAAACATTGTAATTCGACTAAATTAAAAAATGTATAAGAACAAATTTTAAATATTTGTAGGGGATGATACTTAATGGCTTTGGAGTTATAACCCCTGAGTTATAGTCCAGAGGGGTGGTGTTTGGGTCAGGGTAGATGGGACTGGGGGTTTGGATTGTCAGTTTCCACTTATGATGAACTTTATGAAATTTAGCCAAAGAATGTGTGGTTCTAATGGCCAAACTCAGTAAAAGATTCAAAAATTTTATGTTGGATTTAAGTGCAAGTTTTATATGCAAAGAATTTGCATTGGCTTAAATGGCTTAAGTATAAAAACTAAGGTCAGGGGTCAACATTTAATGCAAAGGCATTTTTAGCTAGGATTATTGTGACATTTTTTTTAAATGTTTTATTTCTGCCAATATGTGCTTGTTTGGACTTCATATGAAGTAATTTAAAAACAAAAGTTAATGTTCCAAATAAAATGGATTTGCCATGTAGCATTATTGTTGACAGTGGGTCAGATGTTGTATATGTATTGACAGTGGGTCAGGTGTTGTTTATCTTCTGAAAGTGGCTCAGTTGTTGTTTATACTGACTGGTTCAGATGTTTATTTACTAACAGTGGCTCAAGTATTTATGTACTAATAGTGGCTTGGATACTGTTGATGTACTGATGGGCTTAGGTGTTGTTTATGGACTGATAGTGACTCCAGTGTTGTTTATGACAGTAGCTGAAGTAATGTTGATGTATAAACAGTAAATAAGGAGCTGTACTGACAGTGGCTCAGGTGTTTTTTAATGCTTTTACAGTAACACATATGTTAATCATGTTCTGACAGTGGCTCATTTGTTGTTATTAGTATAAGAAGTTGAGGTCAGGTACATTTTCGGAAGAAAGATGCTGAAAGTGATAAACCATACAATTTAACACAAAATAACATATTGGTTTCTGTGTCAATTTGAGCTATGGACCCATGCTGATGTTTAAAAATTCAGTACAGCCATGGTTGCATATTGACCTTGCATACACATTCCAGAAGTGTGGCTATAAAGCTTTAAGATGTCAGAATACACATTCCAGAAATTTGGTCCCCAAAACTTTTAAATGTCAGATTTTTTTTCATGAGGCAGATTTTTTTTCATGAGGCCGTTTGTACAAAAAAAGAGGATATAAAAATGATGTGCAAATTTTATTCTTCAAAGCAGAAAACTGCAACAAACCAGCAGCAGCATATTTGCTTTCTTGCATTCATTCATGGGAAAAGAAAAGTTTCCAGACAAATAAGCTACACATGAAATGTCAGTAAATAATTGTGCATGAAGATGTACACATTACAAGTTTGATCTCCACACAATTATCAAGTTATTTGCCTGTTTTATTTATGCTGTTAATTAGCCTCAGACTGTTACTATTTTAAAATGCTAATACAAACACATTTCAGGTAGTACCATACAGAATTTTTGTACATACACAATTTTGGTACTGTACAAATGCTAGTACAGACACCTTTCTGGTAGTACCATACAAAATGCTAGTACATACATTTTTGGTCCTGTACAAATGCTTGTGTAGACACATTTATGGTACTTCTATACAAATGCATTTACTTACACATTTCGTATACTGTACAAATGCTATAGAAACATTTCTGGTACACATACAAAAGCTTGGACACATTTCTGGTTGCACCATACAAATGCTAGCACAAACACAATTTCTGATAGTACCATATAAATGCTAGTCAGAAAAGTTTCAGGTTTTGTACATATACTTTTACAGACACATTTGCATATTTGTGTTCAAAACACTCTCTAAATGCAGAATGATACCTAAAGTAGAAATTAGAGTTAATATATCCATTGAAAAACAAAGACTGTGCCGACCATGACTGTTGCACTAGTTGTCCAGGAACTACCTGGTTTGGACAATCAGGGGAGAGTGCAACACTTTTGAATAGGATTTTTGACTTAAGCTTTCTGTCTTCTCAAATTTTATGGACCATGTGATTTCCTATCTCAGAACAATGCCTTCTAAATTACATGCTGATTATAAATTTCACTTTGAGAGTTTGACATCACTTGGAGTTTTAATTAAGACAGAAATATAAACATGAATTCTGTCTTGGGATGAAATGTTTCAGTAATTCAAATCTCGTTGGCCTCCCTTCAAAATAAATTCCTCAGATTGTCTCATTGATGGCATAGTCTTTAACAGCTGATCTCATCAAAAGAGGTTTTGTACACAGTCAACAATTCTAGCTCAAATGCATTAATTTTGGAATACATTGGCCACTGAATTATGACCAGAAGCCATTTAAATTTTATTGGCATCATAGCTAAATCATAATTGGCTGTCTTTGTCTCACAGAGAGTTGACACTCTACATGTTTTGGTCATTCTGTCATCTATCTTTAACTGGACAGCAGATTTATCTGCAAGAGTTGGTGGAATTATGATCTGTCATTGATCAGTGGGGAGGGGATATTAAAATTTAATCAAAAAGCATCATGGCATAGACGGTTTTAAATTTAATCAAATGATGGTTTTTCTTCCAATGCTGAAAATAGAAAAAACATAAAAATAATTTCTCATAATATTTTCAGATTTGATATCCTGGCATGAAGTTCCTTGACACAAAAGAATCTGTCATAAAGGGCTTTCAGATTTATGAAGCTAATGCTGATTTGCCATTAAATGGAAAGTCATTATAATGACTTCTGTGAAACCACTCAAAAGACTTTGACCAAATTTGGCAGGAAGCTTGTTGACATAATGGCTTTAAAATTGATATAGATTATGCCATTCTGCTACCGACTACTCTGGTGCCTTAGTGATTAGAGCATGTCTTGGGTGCAGAAGGTCATGGGTTTGAAGCCTGGCCAAGTCATACCAAAGACTTATAAAATATAAAAATGGTACTAGCAGTTGCATTGTTAGGTGCTCAACATTAAGAGGTTAATGTTAGGACTGGTCAGCCTGGTGTAAGGATAAGGAGATTGGGTGAGACATCACTATAAATTGTCACACTGCAGACATCATAGTGATATGACTGACAAATTAGAGAGAGAGAGAGAGAGAGAGAGAGAGAGAGAGAGAGAGAGAGAGAGAGAGAGAGAGAGAGAGAGAGAGAGAGAGAGAGAGAGTTAGCTGCTTGACCAGATTAGATGGAAAGTATCCTAACTTAAGGCATTTTATACTGCAGCCACTATCAGATATAGTCACCATTACTAAAATTGAAACTAAAAAATTACGCAAATTTGTTAATTAAAAAAAAACTTTACAGAATTTGGCCAGCATTCATACAAAATGTGTCATGTCCTTGACACCTTTCAATATTGGGTAACTAATGATGATTTGCCAACAGCTATGGATGAAGGTATAAAAAAAGAAGAAAAACCAGAATAACTTATTGAAAGAATTGTTTTTATAGCAAATGCAATCAACAGTATTGGGAAAAAAAATTAAATGGCCTACTGGCAGAGTGAGTGACCTCACTTGGGCCTCTTGTATGAATAAACATGTTCAGTCTCATAGAGATTTACCCTTTAGCACAGACATATATGATTAGGTTTTATATTTTACAGTAGTTATCTGTAGACAAGTTTTAATATAAAAAAATCAGATTATTGAGTTACATGGCAGTTGCTTTTAAGACGTTTTATTAGAAATACCACTGCCTTTCCTTCAAGGAAATATCCATAAAAGTTATTGATGGTTTTTCCAGTATGTGGATCTTTCATGAAAATAAGAATCAAGAGCTATTTATAAATTGATGTGATTGTTCTTTTTGCATATAAAGGTAAAAAAATTGCATACAGATTATTCCAGTTTTTGGTGAATGTACTTCATTGTTTGATAATGAACCGTATTCTCTGTTTTATATGATGCAGTCACCTCAATTAGTGTCCATTAAAATATTGTATGATATTGTCAGAAAGATTGGTGAAAGGCACATCACTTACTCACTCCCAATCCATGTCTTTGTTGATGATCTATAAATAGATCTTAGGGATTACACAGCAAACATCATAGCTATATGACTGAGAAATTGTTAAAGCTACATAAAAAATTCAAACCAAACACACACACACACATACACACACAGATCTTAGGAAGGATGTGCACTATAAAACATAAGGTCATTTGAACTCAGAATATGGTCCTTTTGTCTGTTTACAGTTCCTGTTTACAACTTATCCAAAACTGCTTGACCAATTTGCACATGATCCTACAAGGACCATTTTGGCATCAAGGCTTTTTAGAATTGCCAAGTGATTTTACAAGGACCATTCTGGCTTCAAGTTCTTTTAGATTTGTCCAGTGATTCTACAAGGACCATTTTGGCTTCAGGGCCTTATAGAATTACCAAGTGATTTTACAAGGACCATTCTGGCTTCAAGGCTTTTTAGATTTGCCCAGTGATGCTACAAGGATCATTCTGGCCTCAAGGCCTTTTAGATTTGCTTAGTTTTTTTTACAAGGACCATTCTGGTCTCAAGGCCTTTTAGATCTGCCTAATGATTCTACAAGGACCATTCTGCCTGCAAGGCCTTTTAGATTTGCCCAATGATTCTACAAGAACAATTCTTTCATCAAGGTCTTTTGGGTTTTCCCAGTATACTGCTGATCCTTTATCCAGTATGGCCACATGATAAATTTTTTTTAAAAAGAAATAATTAGGAGGACTTGT